ATTGATTTCAACTACATATTTCATGTGGTCTATAATTTTTCAACCACATATCTCATCATTTTTTTTTTATCAAAATTGACTAAAAATCTAATTTTAATTCCCACCAAACGGGGGCTAATAGTTATAGTCAAACTTCTTGTGCAAGTTTAATTTAATTTAATGCAATTTTCCCCATATTGAGAAACCATTGTCATTTATTAAAAAGTCATTTTTCGATGGCAATAAAATTAATAATAAACTTTATGACAGTTGACAAGCAGCATGAATAAAATATTGTCACTGGTAAACAACCATGAATTTGGGCATCTGTAACATATTACCACATGAAAGTGAAACCTATCATTGGGAGATTTTCATGGCACTTTCGAAAGATACGATCAAGTCGTAGTTCAATAATTTGATAAAATTTAAGTCAAAATAAAAAATATATAAATTACATATTTTATGAAATTCACAATTTTCAATCATATGTATCATCAGTTTTTTTAAATGTTAAAAAAATATGATTTTTAACTACGTCACGTGTGGGCTAAATCAAGCGTCTAGACTGAAGCGAACAAAACAACAAAAATTGATGGCTAAATTTAAAACGTACAGAAGTTCACCGACTTCACGTATCAAAATGAGACAACATTATATTGAGCGAGTAAAGGAGTTTTTGTGAAGGGTAAATCCCTAAATTCTAACAAAGATAAAATAGATATATCGTGCCCCAGTTTGATGTGAATTAAAATCAGGTTTTTAGTTAATTTTAATAGAAATTGATAAAATATGTGGTTGAAAAGTTGTGTAACCCATAAAATATGTAGTTATAATTAATTATTGACTTACATTTAGATTAAAATTTAGATTTTAATCGGAACCAAACAGCGATCGAGTGAAGTAACGATAAATAAATATATATTGACAAAGCGGCTAGAGCAACTGCACTTTGACTTTTATTTTATTCCGCAAGATTATGCTTTTGCTACTAGTCAAGTTGATTCCATGTAGTTAGTCGAATCAAAAGAAACAGGAAAGAGGAGTATCGAATTTGACGTTTAAGCAATAAACAACCATTGTTGTCTTCCCCTTTTTGCTCATGATATTATAAACCTTCGTGATCGAAATACTTGTCTTCCATATCTCGACCCCATATAAAAAATGCACGATTACTTACAAACAAAACAAAGAAGAAATAGTTATACTTATGCCCTTTTTTGGTGGGATTAAAATAAGATGTTTTAGTAAATTTTGACAAAAGTTAAAGAAATGTGTTGTTGAAAAGTTGTAGGTCTCATTAAATATATAACTAAAATTAATTGTTTTACATTAATCTAGAGATTAAAATTTTAATTTTAATTTTCACAAACATATGCTAAAACTTTTCACCTGAGTCTATTAAATATATTTAGGCCCCGTTACGTGTTTATATATGAATATTTTATCATATGAATGTGGTTGAAAATGATCATACAGAAAAAATAAAAATAAATTAAATGATGTCAAACATGGGCTTACTAAGATTTACCTTTTAACCACTGTTAAGTCAAATATCTAATATTGTCTCTGTTTGGTGTAAATTAATATTAATTTTTTAGTAAATTTTGATAAAAAATATGATGAAAGTTCTGAGTGTGTTTAAACTCCATTTTGTAGGAAAATATATATTGTAATAGTGATTTTTTTGGAGAATACATAGTTAAAAAGTATGAAAAATTTCGAATTTAAGAATAAAATTATTTTATTGAAAGAATACGTGATTGAAAATGAGGGTATGTTTGAGCCCCGTTTTCTTTTGAGTATCCATTTTAGATAGTAGATTGATGAAAAATGTGTGGTTAAAATAATGAAATGTTTTGAATTTACGTATAGTATTATTTCATTAAAGAATGTATAGTTGAAAAGAAAAAAAGAGAAAAATGTATTTTGTAAGTCCCTGTTTAGTAAAAAATAAAATTCAAATTTTAATCTAAGTCAAAATCAACAATTAATTTTAATTACATATTTTATGGGATCCACAACTTTTTAACCATAAATCTCATCAATTTTTATCAAAATTTACTAAAAATCAAATTTTAGGTCATGTTTGAGCCACATTATTTTTTTCATTATCATTCTTCTATTCATTTTCAACTACACATTTTTCAATAAAATAATATTTTACATCACATAAATAATTTTTACTTTCATTATAACCACATATTTCTCATCATATCACTATTTAAAATAAAATATTTTCTCAATAAAATT